AATCAATTAGCCTGTTCGTTAATAGTATCGAACTCAGTCATATAATGCCTATCTGCGACAGGCTCAAATGTCGAAGGCTCACGTATCGGGAGGCTTAAATATCGGGGGCTGAAATGTCAAGAGCTCAGGTGTCGGTAGGCTCATCTGTCGAGGCTCATTTGTCGGGGCTCAAATGTCGTAGGCTCAACTGTCGTGTCACCGCTAAAAATAAAATAGTACTTGTTTTTTGAATTACGCATGCCTTACATTCAACAATTGATTAATGAATATAAAGTATCAGAAAATGATTTAAATATGTTATTTCATATACAAACATTTTTAGATAATTATTTTAAGAATACTAATTTTCATCATCTGAACAATGATAATTTTAATTTCATTTACTTTTTACATAAAAAATATGCACTCGATTATCGAACAACTCAGTTATGATTGATTATTATTCGATTAAATCATTAGATATCAAATCCTGATATACAACAACAACAAAGAATTATTCATATTATTCATGATTATATTAATGAACATAATGACAGATGTTACAACAGAATCGAATCAATATTAAATGTTATAGTTATATAATAAGTGTTAGAAATACCGTTGTAACCTTGTAAACTGTCTAACGTAAGTCATTGATAACGTACACTTGTTTCTCAATATTTTATATATCGATCTTTTGAATATCATGCTGTAGATGACAAATATATGATTATTATTTGACCCAAAATCTTTTGCCCACATCTTAGCACAAAATATTTTTTCTAAATCAGCAGAAAAAGTAGAAATTCTGTCCATAATTCTGAATTTTCTCGATCAGAACTCAACTTTTGAGCAATAGAAAAGCATATTTGGAATCAAGATCAAAAACTCAGTCGACTAATATGGATTTCTATCCTATCCGACTACTTTATTCTTTTCGACTTTTCACCTTGAAAAAAAACTACCGAGATTTTTACTCAAAACTGAAAATCACTAAAAATTTTGAAAGCCACATCAGTCGACTCATCTTTTCATCCTGATTCCAAATATGCTTTTTATTGCTAAAACGTGACTTCTGATCGAGAAAATTGAGAATTATGACAGAATTCCTACTCTTTCTGCTGATTTATAAAAGGTTAAACTTTCTCGAAGACGACTAAATATTTTGTAAAAAAAAACGTCACGTATTTTTTATTATAATTATTTATAAAATTATTTATAATTATTATTTTATAATTACTTTAGGGTTAACAGGATAATAAAGGTGTTAAGATCATATTAATATTTTTGTTTATTACCTCGATGTTAGATCATTAATAATAATTAAGTAGATTTTTTTTGTTTTTAGTCTGTTAGACTATATAATTTTACCTGATCTGAGTTTAGACCGGTGTGAACTAGGTTAGATTTTATCTTTGCATTTTAATATGTAGTACGAAAGGAAGTATATTATTTTTATGATAATGTTTAATGAATTTAGAGTTCATTTTTTGTTATTAATAATTATTTGAATTTATATATCTATTTATTATTTTCCTTATATAATAAGTTCTTTAAGTTTAGTTTGTATTGTTTTGTTTATAGTAGTTTTTTTTGCTAAAATAGCTTTATTTGTTTGTCAAGTGCTTATCCAACCACTTGGCTGACCCAGTGCAAATAAAGTTACATGAAAAACTTCAGCCAAGTATTTGTTCCATTCATCTTCATTTTGTACGGCTTCTGCTATAGACGCGTGTATGACTACCAAGTTTGTTTAACTCAGCAGAAATATCTAAACTTATTTTATAAGTCTCTACTGATTCATACTGTGAGGTTTATACACAACATGCCAATGCGAAACAAAAGGGTGATTGACTTGACAAATATTCAGGTAAGAACTTGAGAACTAATAACACTTGCCAAGTTCCTGTTCAAATGCTTAATAAGGGAGGAAACTTGTAAAGTACTTCATAAGTACTCGGAGAGTAATCAAGTCCATGCACGAGGGTAGAGTTTTTTCGAAGTGAGAAAACAAACCTGCCAAATTTTTTTGTTGCTCATTGTGTTCATTACGATAATATAAAACATCTCGAAGTAGGCGTGCAGAGGAAGAGAAGAATGAAAAAGTTAGTCAGCTTCTGTTCTTTTCTTTCGTCAAATTTTGAGATAGAGTACTGGATGTACTCTCACTGAATATATTTCTCATAAAAGAGATCATTGTATCGCCTTCTATACATATACGTGTAAAAAAATCATTGAAAATAAACGATTAATTCGAAATCAAATATAAAGTGAGACAAAAGATTTAAAGACACATAGAGAAAAAAACGAAACAAAAGAAGCATATAACCTCACTCTCTTTCTCTCTCGTCATTATAAAGAACGAAGCAATGAATATATAATTTGATATACGAAACAGCCATGAATAAATTGTTTTACTTAAACAAATTTGATGTGCACGTTGATACAGAGCTCGTCCTCGTGTTAGAAAAACATGTGTATGTTGTGTGAGTTGTATTTTTCTCATATTTATCCTCTGTGAATAGGAGTTCACGTAAAAGAGTAATGAAAAAGTTCAAGATCACTAAGCTATTACTTGAAACTTATCTTTAGATTCTTGATTACTAAATATCACTTTTCAGTTTTGTCTAATAATATTTTAGATAATAAATAATTTTTTTTCCATTTTAATGATTATTTTAACAATACCATCATTAATATTTATTATTTTATTTTGTTCATTTGTTCTCACTAATGGTGAAGATTTTTATCAATTATTGGGGGTTCAAAAATCCGCCAGTCAACGCGATATTCGACGTGCATTTAAAAAAATTGCATTAGAAAAACATCCTGACAAACGAACAAATGATCAAAATGCTCATTCAGATTTTGTAAAAATTAATCGTGCTTATGAAATATTACGTGATGATGAATTGAGAAAGAAGTATGATCAATATGGTGAACAGGGCTTAAAAGATGATTTTAATCGTGGTAATGAATATCAAAGTTGGTCATTTTATAAGCAAAATTTCGGTAAGTAATGAGAAAAAAATAGAGTGTTAATATTCAATATCTCATACTTTCATACTTGTAGGCATCTATGATGAAGATCCCGAAATTATTACACTTAGTCGAACAGATTTTCGTATGTATCATCATAAAAATTTTCTTTATTTCATACAAATAATTACATTTTTTTTTTGTTTTTAAAGTACAATCGATCGATGGTACACAAGACATTTGGTTTATAAAGTAAGTTATTCATCATTTTTTATGCAATGGTAGTTGATGATCGCTATTATCAACCTTTTTTTGGACTCTATCTGCATCGTAGATCTTTTATTAATTCACAACTCATGTCGTTAAAATCGCACCATTCTGGACGATTACTTGCGATTAGCAATAAAATCGCCAATTAATCGTAATTTTGACAATAATCGTCCATAAATTGCGATATATCGGTGATTTTTAACAACTGGTGATTAATCGGCTTGTATGAAAAATCACCAGTTGTTAAAAATCACTGATATATCGTCATTCTTAAAAACATCGCAAATTAAATTATGATTACTTAGCGATCCTGGTGATTTTTCTGTTTTTTTAATAATGGTCAATTAATTGCGATTAATTGTTGATTTTAAGCCATTAAATGGTTTTTTGTTCTTCACCGTTTTATTCTGCAGTAAAATATATAAGAAACATGATTTCAACGAGAAATGTTCTTCTTTTCGGATTATCTTTTTAGTATAGCTTAAAACGGAGTTCCCAAGAGTGTTTTCTGTAGTTTCTTCAGAGCTGACTCATTGTTTTGATTTGAGTCAGCTTTGAACCGAGGAATGATAAGATAGTAACAGTAACTGTTTTTAGATTCATCTTTATTTAATAAAAATTAAAATTAAAAATTTTTATTTTTTATTAAAATAAAGTCGATGTTTCGAAAATTGTAATTTTCATTATTAAGACAATAGAGACGATTAACACGATATAAAGTTAAAACGAATATGACTGAATAACTAAACATAGAGAGTAAAATACATTTTTTTGTAGTACGAGAGAGAGAGAAATAGACATTCTTTTGTAAGCGAGAGAGAAATCGGCTGATTAATCGCTAAAAAATCGTCGATTTATTGTCGATTTTGACTACATGGAAAGTTACCTTCTTTTTATAATTTTAGCTATTATTCAGCGCAATGCGGGTAAGTTTTCTTTTAAAACAGTTTATATTTGTTAACATTCTACTCTTATTTTTCTTTTGTTAGACATTGTCATGAGCTGGCGCCTGTTTGGCGTGAAATATCGAAAATCTTAGAAGGCGTTATCCGAATAGGAGCTGTTAACTGCATGGACGAGTGGTCATTGTGTAATGAACAAGGAATACAGGCGTATCCATCATTACTCATTTATCCAGGGGTAATTGGGTTTTATCTTTCGTCTTGCTTGCCGACTAGCTAATCTTCCGGATAGGTGAACGAAGCTAAGCAAAGTTGAACTGAATAGAGATGGTATATAGTGTGAAATTGAAAGTTTCAGAGCTGCTCGTTGAGACTTAATTATCATTTCTAACTCTACTTAAGATTAGATAAATATGTACGGTTCATGAGATATTTAACATGCAATCTGTTGATGACATTCTAAGATTCTCACAGACTGTGTTTTGTTGTCATATAAATCCAGCATAATGTCTCGTCTACTATTTCTATCTTATCAATTAAATAGTATAAACTGGAATGAAATACATTACTTTATATTTTAGCGTATTAACTATAATGGTGATAGACAGAAAGATGATTTAATCCGATATGCCATGAGTTTTGTAACAGCTGATCTTCTACATTTAAATGATAAAACGTTCAAACAAGAATTGTCGGAGAAGAGTCAGAATAATAAACCATTTTTAATTGCTTATTGTCGTAAGAATGATGAAGATAATTGTCTTGATGACGATGAAGCATTTAAATTGGCTGCTATGCTGGTAAATAGTAAAGTGTTTTTTTTGTACTCATTCGGATAACAGTTTACACAGAAGAACGATTTAGACACTAAGAATATGTTGTTGTACTCTTTCTTATCTTCAGATAGTTTTTTTGTTTACTGTTCTTTTAGCATTTAGAATAATCTTGTACAAGTTGGAATCGTTAACTGTCATTCAAATCCGTTGGTCTGTCAAACAATGAAGCCAAAAAGTTCTATTGTTTACTACGCATCAAATCAGATATTGAACACGAATGATAACAATGATATTCGTACAATTTCAAGTTTAAATATTAAAGAAATAGCTTCACAAACATTAAGTTATTTACCCGATATCAAAATATTAACAGAAGATATGTTTAATGTAAGAATAGTGTAAAATACAATAATTACTTTTTTTTATTTATTTTATTCTATTTAAGAATTTAATGATTGAACTAAAACAGAATAAAAATAAACCATTATTAGTTCATTTTGTTGAACAAACAAATAATGAAAAGGATCTTGAATTACGAAAATTACCATCGATGCTAAATGGTAAGTTGTCAATCTTATTAAAATTATCTTTTAAATTATTATTATTTAGATTATAATATTGGTCGATTTGAATGTTCATCATCCACATCTATTTGTCAAAATTTATTTCTTAATAAATTACCCGCATTTATTTTATTTAAATTTAATGGTTATTATGAATTTTATTATGGTAAATATCGACAACAAAGTTAACGACAATTGTATGATATCTTTTATTTTTCTCAAGGTCGATATAGTGCAAATGATGTTGCAACATTTGTTCGTGAAAATGCTTATACAATTGTTCGAACATTAAATCCAAATGATTTTCCATATGTGACAAATACAGAAAATGATAAACCGTTTATTATCGATTATTTTTCACCGGTAAGTGAGTGAATATATCGATGAAGATGAATTTTGAAGCTAACTTAACTATTTTGTTCTATTTTTCAGTATTGTCCACCGTGTTTACAATTACTACCGGAATTTCGTAAAGTGTCAAAAAAAATTGGAGATCAAATCAATTTTGGAACAGTAGATTGTACAATTCATAATTTTCTATGTCAGGAACAAAATATTCATTCTTATCCTACCACTATTGTTTATAATCAGTCCACACCACATCAATTTCATGGACAGTACTCAGAACAAGCAATTATGAATTATGTATGTAGGAGTGAAGAGAAATATTTACGTTATATATTTGAGCTTTATTTGTAGGTGGACGATATTTTACATCCATCGGTAATTATATTGGACAATGATTTATATGAAAATCTGATAGTGAATAAAAAACATAACGAAATGTGGTTAGTGGACTTTTTTACGCCGTGGTGTCCTCCGTGTCAACAATTATCAGGAGAATGGCGACAATTAGCAAAAGTAAGAATAGTGTAATGATATCTATGGAGATTGATTTGTTTTGCTTTATTTTCAGTTTATGAAAGGCATTGCCAATGTTGCCACGGTCGATTGTACCGTTCAGACTTATTTGTGTCAGAGATTAGGCATTTATTCTTATCCAACCATTAGACTTTATCCACCAAATTCAGATGAACAAAATTTTGTGTGCGTATTTCTTTGCATGTGGTGCTACATTACAGAATTCATTATAGTTTAATGTTTTGTTTCGTCTAGACTATATAATAATGGATGGCGCGATGTAAACTCATTGCGTTCATGGGCATTCACTTTTCTACCAAGTAAAGTGATTGAATTAGATAATGTCAAATTTTCCAAGATTGTGTTACGTGATAACAATTCATGGGTAATTGATTTCTATGCTCCTTGGGTACGTTATTTACCAGTTAATTTGATCCATAAATTGTCGTTACTCCTACCTACATGGTTTGTCTAACCGACTCATCAATAATGTGTATACTTGTAAATGTTTTAGTGTGGACATTGTCATCAGTTTAATCCCATTTTTGAAGGTGTTGCTCGAGTAAGTTTTTCTTGATGATTATATCTTATTGAATAGAAATAGTATCCGACTCCTATTTCTCAAAGAAATTAGAAGGAAAAGCAAATGTTGGTAAAGTCAATTGTGATACACAAAAAGAAATTTGTGAGAAAGCAGCTATTCGTGCTTATCCAACTATTAAATTTTACAAAGGATCACTCAATTCAAAACGACAGGTTTGTGTTTAATTCGAAATCGGTGACATTTATCTGAATCATTTGTTTTTAACTTTTTCGTCTAATATTTACTAGGAATTTATTGGTGAAGAAATTAATCAATTGGATGGGGATTTTATTCTACACTATGTTATGAACAGACAACCATCTACTGCACAACAACGAGCTCATACAACTGAGCTGTAAAATGGCTAATAATTGAATGTTGCTTACTACCATCTACCTCCTTATTCTTATAAAAATCTCTAATTATTCCTAAGACTTAATTTGCTTTTGATAGAAATTTCTTTTGTATTTTGAATCTCAAAAAAATGATGTTTGATTTTCTACTTCTGTGTCATAGTTGCTAGAGAGCAACTATAATCAGGCAACAACCAAAGGAAAAAATGATTCTTTTTAGTCTATTGAATTTAATTAACTTATTCCATTTTTACTTTTGTACATATAGATTGTTATTTTTTTTTTATAAAAGTTACAATTTTATTATATTGTTAAACTTGAATGAATTAATAAAACTGTAGATAAAAATCTTATTTTCATAAACAAAAGTTAAAAACAGAAATCATTTACGCACACATCGGCCTTCTATGATTCTCTTCACGGCTTGTCCACGTAACTCTGCTACCGTAGTGTGATTTCGTCACCGTTTTTCTATATTTTGTTTCTTTAACAGTTTTTCGAATCAAGGAGGTATTTTCTCAGTTCTGAGTGCTTAATATCATATAATGTTGAAGTTTTGAGAAAAGAAAGTTATTGTTTACTCGATGACACACTGGTAAAATCATAAGGTCCAATAGGCTTGAGCATAAAAGAAAATTTTCTTTTTGAACAATGTTGAAGTATTTGCATACTGTTTGCCGTTCAATGCAACTTTTATGTTAATCACACGTCCAATGACTAGGAATGACGACTACTGGATCTTTACCAATGTGTTTATATACTTATGTCAATTTTTGGTGTCACCAGCTCTTGTACTGTTGAAACAGCTAATATTTGTTTTATTTTATTTTTTTCTACATACATTAGGATTTTTCATAATAAATTTAAAGGAATAATGTGGCTATTTTCATTTTCATTTTTTATTAATGATATTTCAATCTTAATCAGTCATTTTCAAATATACAACTGAAACAAGAAAACTAGACAACGGCACTACTTTACAGTTACATAGACTTATCAGAACAGGAAGAAGAAAAAGAAATTGATTTATCTTTTACTGTCATTACGTCTTTTAAATATCGAAGCAAGAAAAAATATTCAAAACAAATTCTCGATATATAGTCATACGAACAAATAGTGGTTTCTAAACAAATTTATAGAAAACCAACCTATACTGATCTTGTGACCAAATGAGACAGGTTTGCACCTATCAATTACAAAAGAAATACAATCTCATCAATGATGTATAAAGCAATTAAAATCTGATCAACACACGTGTTGATGCATAGAAAATAGCTCTTATGAATAAATATCCGTCTTTTTTTGTTGAATTTTTAATACGGACACAGTTAGAATTGTAAATTATATCTAAATCGTGTGCCGTGAAATATCTGTGAAAATATTGTATTTAGAATTCCCTTTTTTGGTACAGCTAGTGCCATCTATGGAAAAAGAATAAAAACTGCAATCAATAAGTTTATCCAAATAGAGCAATTAGACTGATGTTTATTACCAGCTCAATAGTTGCAAATGGCTTCAACACTAAAGATACCCGATTATCTGAAGTCCAACGTCGTGTATGAAGCTACATGTCCAGTATGTGGTGATAAATACTTGAATAAAGTACGTCAACATTTAACAAGAAGTTTTAATGAACATATAACTGATCAGAATAAATGCATACCTGTACATTCACAGCCTGCTGCTATTACCAAAAGTGTATCAGTGACACGGACAGGAAAACTTCCACCGTCAATTAGAAACGCCAATAGTGCAGAAAGTTGAATTTCCAATAGATACTCGAACAACATTTAAAAATAAAAACCAAAATCATACGAAGTAAACTCGGCTATCGGGAAACATTATGAAGAGATGGGTCATACTCTATCTACTAATAACTTTAAAATAGCGTTAAATAAACAACAATATAGACTACCCATTAAAGAATCTCTCATTATTCGTGCAACAGTTCCTGTATTGAATGAAACTGATAAATCTGTTCTGTTTTATGTTTACCCTAATGCGTACACAAGAAATAAGTTGATAAATTATATGACGATAAAAGATTAATTCCTCCAGTAAGCAAATAATAGTCAAGACACTACGAACACGGTTGGTGATGTTAATAATTTTTTTGAATATTTTTCATATTTAAAAGAAGTAATGACAGTAAAAGATAAATCAATTTCTTTTTCTTCTTCCTGTTCTGATAAGTCTACGTAACTGTAAAGTAGTGCCGTTGTCTAGTTTTCTTGTTTCAGTTGTATATTTGAAAATGACTGATTAAGATTGAAATATCACTGAAAATGAAAATAGCCACATTATTCCTTTAAATTTATTATGAAGTTATTTTTTGAGTAAATGCCATCTTTCTTCAATTTGATTAAATAAAATCGAATAAAAAATACTGGCGTTATCCATACATTTTACATCGTATCAAGAAGAAATATGCAGAAAAATATTAATGAACTCTTACTATATTTAGATCGTAAGTTTTTCTTTTTTCTGATATTATAATACCTTTTTTTACAAGCACAATCAACATTTTTTTATAAAATATTTGTAATTCTTCAGATATATTTGAGAAAACATCTGTTCGTTTAATACGATTATCATCATTGATCAGAACTACCGTTTTGTACTAAATATCGTAGGAGTAACAAAATTGACAAAAAAACGCGTTAAATGTTTCAACCAACGCTTTTTCTTTGTCGTTTAAACGCATTTTTCTTTATCTATTCGTTTGAAAAGGCGTTTTTCGGAATTTCGCAACGCGCTACTTTTGCGTTAAAAACGTACAAAAAACGCGTTTTCAAACGTTCTAGAACACGTTTAAGATGAAACAGTTAACGCGTTTTTAGATCGTTAAAAACGGAATAAAAACGCGTGAGAACAGAAAATTTTGGTAAAGCCAGAGGTGAAACTTGGCCACCTTGTGGGGCTTGATCTAAAAATAGTTGAACGTATATAATAAATAATAAAGGAAGTACAAAACTGATGATCTAAAACTGAAAAAGAACGAAAAGATGTTATTTCGCCTGTGCTTATATACTCGGCTGACCGCAAAACAAGACAGTGCATACCCAGAGGTAAAACAGTTGACAAAAAACGCGTTGTAACTCATTTTTTAACGAAGCTTTTTAGAAGGAAACGCGTTAAAACGACCAAAAGAACACGTTGGTTTTGAAACTTTTAACGCGTTTTTTTGCCGTTAAAAACGAAAAAAAACGCGTTTTTTACCCCTGGGCCGTTTGTAAAAGGCGTTTTTCGGAATTAGCGCGTTCAATAAAACGCCAAAAAATGGTTAATTTAACGATCGTTAGCAAACGCGTTGTCAGTGAACGCGTTATTCTAAACTTCTGAACGACAAAAAACGCGTTTAAACGGCTCTTTTAACGATCGTTCGTTAACGCGTTCGGAAAAAACACGTCCGAGCTTGCCTTTTCTTATAGTGAAGTACTGCTCTAAAAGTATGTACATATAGAAAAGACGTCGCTCCACAATCGGGCGTGAGTCCCAAATTTTCGTCTATCGTGGTTCTGGCACTACAGACGATCTCCGAGGATATCTCTACCAGTTAAACCTAAACTCTGGGAACCTTATAAGTAACAGGCAATATGGTCCGATCGGGCAAGGAGTATTTTACCCGTTTTGGCAAGATTTCCACACTTTTTTCTTTCAACGGATTAGCGCATAAATTAAAGCTATTGCGCATCTAGACACTTATTCCACGTGATAGAGCGATAAAAACTGCATCAAATAGAGTAATAATCAATAATCAAATAGAGTTTCCTTGGGTGATACGGTGCTTTCTTGTACGGTCAGAAACTATATTTGCCTCAGGATTGCCTTGCCCCGGCAAACCTGCCCGTTCGAGCAATATTGCCCGATCAGACAAGGACAAAAGATTGCCAAATCGGGCAAGATAAATTGCGCAAAATTGAGCTATGTTTGCTATTCGTCTCTGTCATAAAAGAGAAAGAAGGTTGAACACATAACTTTACCATACGGTGAATAATCAGTGCACGAGGAGCAGAATGAACACTTCTCGTCTATTAGACGACTGATGATTCTCGAGACCAGATCTTGTCTATTCAGCCATTATTACCCGATGACAACGGACTGTCGAGGCAGTAGTTTCAGTGTATATTGATCTCTTAATACACAGGTAGAAATCTTTTGACAAATAATCATATAATTTAGAGAAAGAAAAATCTCTTCATTATGACTATAGAGAAGAACAGAATACGTAACTATACTACACAGACTCTATATCGTAACAAAAAGATAAAAGCTAAATCTTTTTCATCTATGTATCTGAGAACACTAATAGTGAAAACAAAAAAATAGTTTTATTATGCATTTATGCTTCTTCCTCTTTATTTAGTTATCCGCTCAAACAAATCTTCTACATGTTTATGTTTTGTCATTCTAATACTCGAAAATTTTATGATAATTAGTTATTATAACTGAAAGTGTATAATCACAAATGTCAGAAAATTTCTTTTGACAGTAGCTAACCACTATTTTCTTCCTATTTCACTATCTGAAGAGTTTTTTTATTGCATCATTAAAATCGAACACTTTTTCTTTAATAAACAGATTCATATAATTTATCCAGAGTAAATAATAAAATTTTTATTGTGTTTATTCAGTTTTTATCACAGCACACTTGAACAGTAAAGAATTAGTTAGTTGATGACTTAGTGTATTTTAGTTTAGTTAAAATAAATTAAAATATTCACATTTTCATGAAGGTAAAAAAAAAATTAGTTTTAATTTTATTTAGTTGAAAAGCTATTGAAAAAAAACCTATGATAGAATTCGAAGAAAGGCAATATGACGATTTTCTTTTATATAAACGTCATCTTTAGTTAGATTTTTTCATCATATAATGCTGTTTTTATGTACTGGCCTATAAATATGTTGATATTTGTTGTATCTAAGTACTAAAATAGGACAAAATTTCGCCTATTTATTGATGACAATCATAACTATTCATTCTTTTTTCTGTACACCTTTAGAAATCATCTAAAAAAAACAAAAAAATTAACTATTCTTTTTAGAACGAAAAAGAAAAACTCTTTGATGTACAAATCACGCATTTATAATACATGTGCGTAAGAATAGACTTTATGGTTGAGTATGTACTTTGAATTTTTAATACATCGACATAACTTTTTTATTTAGTATAAATATATATGCGAATTTTTTTTCCCTTTCTTGTTCTAATGTATTCAGACTATTCAAGTTCCTACAAGGAAAACAAATGTAAATATCTGCACATTGACCAAATTAATAATAGTAGAATATTGTGTATATAATCAAATTATTCTACATAAACATTAGTTGTTGTTGTTGTTTTTTATCAAGAATCGATGTTGAAACTATGCCACATCAAATAATAAATAATATTGAAAATTTAAATCCATTAATTGATCTTGATGAACCAGAACATGATGGATATATTAAAAAATTAAACAGAATTGAATTAAATAATCGTAGAAGAAGATGGAAGTTAAAATTATTGAGTTTAATAATTAATAAAAATGATAATCAACAAAATTTGACGAATAATGAGGTATTATATAAATTTTTGATACATAACAGAATCTATCAGGTCTTAATTTTAGCCTTTATTATTGACAACATCTAAAAGAAACAGATTTTGCTTTCTTTTTATAGTTCTCGTCTATCAACGAGAATTTTTTTATTTATTCATATTATCTTTGACAAGCATAACTAAATGGTTTATGTATACTACTAAAAGAATACACAGTATTATCTCAATTACAGAAAAGAACTAACTAGATTTCTGATTCGGATAATTGTACAATAAGATAGTAAAAATACTATGTCATTGTGGTATTTCTCTTATAAAAATGAGTGTGTAACATCCATTACTTTTGTTTTTTAGGCTCAAATGGTATTCGTCGATAAACAACAATTATATGTTGCCGATAATAATATACCGTTTTTTATACCAAGATCCATTGATGCTGTACGTGAATCAATGAAAGATCGTCTTCAAAAATCCCTATTATCTATTCAGAGAAATGATGAATATATTCAGAATGAAACTACTGATCAATCTCATCATCAATATGATACATCTGTTGGTCTTATGGCATTGGCAACATACGCACAAAAAATTGCATTTCGAGAAATACTTAGCATTGATGAATCGAGACAGCCACCAGTAATAAAAGGTGATGATGTAAAACATGAAGAAACGTATCCTATAACAGATTTTTATGATGAACAAGATCTAAATGAATTTGAAGATGTTTTAACGAAACAACGTGATGCCTACATGAATTTACCACCAAGAAAACCGTCTGATATGATTTATATGAAATTTTGTTGTCTCTTTGAAATAAATCGTGATTCCAGTGAAAGTTGTTTGAGTATTCGATTACTCGATATTATATTTAAATTTAAATTGACCGATTTTAATATATATTGTGAGTTACGTATTCAAAAACCAGCTGAAGAAGAATTAGTTCTTGAACGACAAATACAAGGAATCGATATACAATCACAATGGGGAATGGAAATGAAATTTTTATCGTTTGATTGGATTGAACATCAAGAAGTTGAATTACAATTTACATTGAAAATTGAATCAACAACATTACTTAGTAATACATTTATTGGAGGAGCAAAATTTCAAGATCATTGCCATCTTTATGTGAAAAATATACCTCATGGATCGAGCAAAATATTTTTGAGAGAAATGATACCAATTGCTAGAAATAAATTGGTATGCATACTAAGTAGTATTTATCATTTTAAACATATAGTATACAACAACAAAAAAAAAAAAGAGTCCTATATCCTCACGTTTTTATGCTGACGTACGTCATCAGCATTCTATATTTTTGTCATCGAATTTAAAATCCAGTTGTGAGTGAGAATATCATTTGCGCACAGAAAAAAAAGCAAGATAGCGTGAAATTTTTTCAGATATTGAACATGCATTAGAATGAATTAATTATTTCAGAAACTCCTAGTGTATTTTAAATTAAGTTTTCCTCCTTTTTCTAGTGAAATTTTTATTTTCTATTATTATCCCTAGAGACTCATGCAACGAGTCTATCGACATCTTAATAGTCCTATTAGTATAGATGAACTACTTCTTCAGATGGTAACCATATCAAAGAAACCACAGCCTGAGTACTATTATATCTGATATATAACTGTTCAGAAAGGAGAGAGGATTGATGCTCGATCGTACACTCGAATCGATTTTATTAACAAAAAACAGAAAATTATAATGAATCATTAATAAATTAATGACCGTTTAACGCATACTAATCCGATAAAAAAATAGACAAAGTGTTTTCAAAATATTCTTTAAAAAATTTTCATCTTATCGCATGTGTTCAACTTCTGAATAATTTTTTATCGCGTTACTATCAGAGGTTGGCAAGTCACCAATTTTTGAAGTCTAATTCGAGTCCAAGTCATAAAGTTTGAGTCGAAATTCGAGTAGCATCTAAAACTGACTAAAGTTATCTCGAATCATTTTCTAAAACTTACATTTCTACTAAATCATTTTGTAAGAACATCTTCCAAATCTCTTTGTTTCTAGGTCTTTAGTCTTGCTATGTGACGCGATGTTTTTCTTACAATATTCTCAGATTTCTTTGTCTTTATGTATATAGTAAATATAAACAACATATGTATAATGTTATAATCATATGACTAACTCGTTTTATTTTTTCAAGGTTATAGAGCCTTTCGCTTTGAGTTCAAGTCTAAATCATAGAAGAATACGGCTCGAATTTGAATTCTGAATTTGACGCGTCCATCTCTGGTTATTATGCATTATATGTTCTCCGATTTTTCAGAAGCAAAACGCAATAAATATTGACTTATGGGAGTCGATTCAACGTAGCATATTTCTGTTTGGTATACACAAAGTTTAACGGCGATTGATGTATTGTTGAGACATAAAGAGTTAATTCATGTACACGTTAAACATCTTGAATAAGGAACTCGATATTGTAACTAGACGAAAGCGGGTTTTTAGTGTGACTGAAGTAACTACCTTTAAAGTCAAAATGTGTAATGCGTTCAGTAAACAAGTCTATTTAAACGTATGAAATTATAAATATTAAGATGTTTGCATGAGTTAAAAATAGTAAAGCGTATTAAATACAGTTCTGTGATTTTGTTTGCGTTATACACCTTGAGAAATACTCAGTTTTTTTCCTAAAATATTTTTGAAACTTTCTTCTGGTTGTGATAAATTATGAGGAAGCGAGCTATCTTATCTCGGTTGCATGTGTTTTTTCATTCTCATCCTATTTTATTCTGTTTTAGAGATCAAGAGGTTATAATGTTGGACAAATTGAAATCGAAGCCGTTCATTGGAAAGAGAAAAGCGAACTAGCTATTAAAGTTATCAAAATAACACATTCACAAGCAGAAAAACTTTTAACAACACCAGGTAAAATCGAATAAGAAATTACTGAATATAACTCTATTAATATCCTCTCTTACTAGAAACATTTGTTGAAGTTGTATTCCAAGATCCATTTTCAATTCACGATATTAAACGTACAAAATTAGCTGAACGGTCATTTAATCCAAATTTTAATGAAGAATTTGTATTTCGATTACCGGCAAAAACGGCGATTAGCGATATAACGATTGATCTTCTTTTTATTGAGCAATCACCTTTACAACATAATTTAACACCCATTGGTATTTTGACGCTTTCAAAGCATACAGACTGGTATCCGGTTAGACGTTTTTGGGCCGAAGTTGAACAAACTCCAAACGTTCGACATACAGACAAATTTATATTTGAAGGGACTGGCGCTGAATGAATGTTTATAGTAAATTGATATATTGGTTGTGAATTCCGTCCTCTACCATTTTATTGTCATGATATTATGATAATATATGTGATAACAATAGAATTTGCTCTGTTTTAAATGAAAAATCAGTCTTCTATTTGCATAAGGAAGACGTTTATAAAATATAACACAAGCACAACTGAATTGAATATATTCAAGAAATATTTAATTGAATATCAATAGAGTTGAACGTACTAGTCATCACACCATCGTTTTTATCTCGGAAGGTTACGAAACACAAAGAAAGCGTTCTTTGTTTAATGTTGTTCTGTCACTGCATTTTCGTGACCAAATATAACTATTTTAATTTCTAGCTCAATACTTGTCATATGGAAGTAAGAGAAGATGATTACGATAAAGCATGCATCTTGTAGTGTTTTTAATAATTGGTGGGGCAAGCGAGAGCAAAATGAGTTTCCATTTTGAATAATGAATTTTAACTCTGTTTTTCATGCTGGAAAAAATATAACCCACTTTGTTTTCCACTTTGTCTTTCTGCTATCTTTTCTGCCTTAGAAAAGAAGAAGGAAGCAAAAGTGACCCGTCGATCTGTTTGTTAAATACATGTGAGCGAGAGAATCAATATAATTTCAGTTTAGTCCTCTAATTTTTATCACGACCAGACATCGCTAATGTCAGAAAAATAACATGACAAGGATATTAATCAAAAAGAATTTGTCTTTTATCTAAACACGTTAAGTTTCTGCAGCGTTAAGTTTTTCTTCAGAAGTGTTCTATTACAGCAATTCTTTTAGTTACATTTTGTTTTAGATGAGTCATCTAGGACGACAACATAAGAGTTTCTTATTACTAAGGAGAAGTTAGTTTCGATCCATTTAACTGAAAGTGATAAAACGAAACCCTCAAAAAGATAAAAAAATCCTCTTCGAGCCGCTGTTGGAAAAAAAGTTGTACTGTTCCCATTTTGTCCGCTTTACATTTCAGACCACGCACTCTAAAACAAATTGTGTCACATTATGCGTGGATATATCGCAACAGTTGGTAACACAAATAAGTTCATACTTGTGCAGGGAATGTGTAAATGATTGGATGAGTCATCGTACACTGCAGTGTAAAAAAAAATAACGGCAAAACTATCAAAAAGTCACGTCTGGACGATACTGACACACTTTTACTGTGACAATGTCATACGCGGGATACCAAAAATAACACTTAAACTGTGACATCGCTTTTCTATTAATTAGATAAAAGTTGGACGATGTCAGACGTTTTCCCTGTACAAAAGTATGGCATTGCACACTTTTAGTGTTATGAATAGCATTGTTATGATCGATGGGGAGGAAATCGATCGTAAACTTTAACAGTGTAGGAAAACACAATGACTTGTCAAGTACGTCCGAACTCCTATTTAATTTCGAGCTTAACTTGTTCCTCAATGTGTCTTTCTTTTTTTTAAAACGTTCTAGACGATATCGTCGTAGGAGCAATAAAACCACGGGTTTGCTAGAGATTAAAAGTAGAGAAAAGTGATTAAGATACAGTTGTTCTAGCTTCGGGTTTCAAATCTCTTTTGTACACTTAACGCGGAATCACCCAGGATCGCATCCCTAGCCATCAGCATATTTTTCGTATGACAGACTTCCAGACACTCGTTAATTTCTAGATTGACAGTGTAAGTACAACATCCAAAAATAAAGAAATCAATGATGAATTTTCTTTTGTTTTTTAAAACAAAGATGACAAGTTTTAAAACTATAATAACAGCAAAGGAAGAAAAAGATCCTACAAGTTCGTCCATTAACCAATCTGAAAAAAAAACCGCGCACAACAACACATAAGAAACCAGATTACAATTGTGCTGCGCAAAGGTTACAATGCCAACAGATTCTGTCTCTGCTGGTAGCTGCCAATAGCGGTTCCACAGATTTTCACTACACCGCTTTCGATGTTAGTTTCTTATCAAGCAGCTGAAAAGATAGAATTCAATTAAGCAGAAAAATGAATTAAATTCCTTTTTACTAAATGGCACCAGATATAAAAAGATTTAAAAAATATCTAAGTTTTTGACACTTTTTTTCTTCCACTTTTGGACCTTGTGACACTGATTCCAAATCAGTTTGAAATAAACGAGCAATCAATGATCAATCTTCAGTGTCTAGAAAACACTCGCGTTTTCAAAACTTTTTTACGACGTGGAGTTCATTGGATCATTGCATTCATATTTCGCAGAAAAAAATGACCACCCACAAAATTAAAAAACAAAATTTCCTGCAAAAGCTCATAATGTCTGTCGATATAAAAACACAACATAACATTAGATTAACCAGCAACAATCAGCGATGAATCATAATAAAACAAGGAAGCTTTCCAACGATTAAGTTAAAAGTATGGCACTGCCACGCCAAAAGTGTAGAAATGTCATGCTGGAGATCATGCCAAGATAAAAGTGTGACAGCTTCGTGAATAAAGTGTAACATTGTTGACACGGTAAAAGTATAGTGATGTCACGTTTTATTTTGTATACTATACTACATGTGTAACAATATCATGCTAAAAGTGTGACAATGTTACGGTAAAACCATGATACTTGATTTTTATCGAAACATTGTTACACTTTTAGCATGATATTATTACACATTTATCGTAACATTTCGGGACAGTGATGGGACACAGGCCGTATTGTATTCTCAGTTTTATAAAATGCAAATTCATTGGTTTAAGGTTTAACGTACCTTTCTAATCATTGGCCCAAAGCATTCCTACTTGTTCACAGTCACCATGGCTGCAACGTCCAAACGAAGCATAATCATATTGTTCTGCATAAATAGCTTAATATAACTGATAATACACTGAGAAATTTCTGAGTTTTTCATATCATATTTGGGTGTAAGTTTTCAGCACACTCGCTTTAATACAATAAATAACTCTTTTGGACCTTTGTCTGATGATCCAACCAATATGCAGCGATAGAACAACAGTAAACAAAGAGCGCGAAGCGAGACAAAGAACGCTTTCTTTATGTTTCGTAGCCTTCCGGGATGAAAACGGTGGCGTGATGACTAATACATTCAACAAGATTTCTACTCATTCATTAACGGTAATGAGTATATTTGCTGTGCATTTGCCGTCTTTTTTGTGGGTCCGTTGGAATAAACAATTTATTTTACGCTGTTTTTAACGCACCTTCATAAAAGTACCTGTTGTTCACTTTCAGAGCTTTTTTTTTGTAATAGTACACAATTTTTTACATACTTGTTTGTTCATAGAAACCTTTAAGAAACATAATTATCTTGCTTGATATTATTTTCAGCTACCGTTGTAGTCCACTTAGATTTTTTCACTTAATGGATAATACAAACGATGACACAACAACATCGAAACAGCTACGTCGCAAAGAACCACCATTTCTGGTGTATCTTCGGTTTCGTCCATTCATTGCTGATGAAATAGCCAAAGGTGAAAATCAGCAAACAATTGAAGTATTAGATGAAAAACGTGTAGGTATAAAAATTTATCCAACAATCGCTAGCCAAATACGATCGGTACAATCATCATACAATGAATATGAGGTTACACGTGTTTTCAATGAAAACTGTACGCAACAAGAATTTTATTCATCAACATTTGAAATACCTACAAATGAAGTTTTTGAGGGCTCAAACTGGTTATTATTTACAATGGGTTTATCTAACAGTGGCAAAACTCATACGATGTTCGGTACTGAAGAGAAACCAGGTATTATTCCTCAGTGTTTTACACAAATATTTCATTACATTGGATCAAATATTGATAATAATGTTGTATATAAACCGGCGGGTCTCGAAACATATGCCATATGTAAACAAACGGATTTAAATCAAGAAATAGCATCAAGAGATTATATATTTGAACAAGATCGAACGGATGAAGTATGTATTGACTGTTAATTATATAAAAAAGCTATTAGCTTTTGATTTGTTTCAGCGCAGAATGAAATTACCAAAAATTGTTCAAAAACAAAGTTTAGATGATTTATCGCTGCAAGGTATAAGGGAGCTACTTACTCATCGATTTTTACTATAACTGCTTATTGATATTTAGATGAATATTATTCGGTGTGGATATCGTTTTTTGAATTGTATAATGAACACATCTATGACTTATTAGTTCGATCAAATGAAATCAAATCACGAAAACCGTTACGTTTGTTACAAGGTGATTCAACAACAACAATTCGTAATCTAATTCAGGTGCCAGTGTTCGATTTGGAAGAAGCAAAAGACGTTGTCAAATATGGTTTTATTAATCGTTCAACATCAAAAACAGTTTTTAACGAAGCTTCATCACGAAGTCACGCAATATTGTGTATTACACTAATAACAACGGATGAATTTAGTGAACAACCAACAATGAGTCATTTGTACATTTGTGATTTAGCTGGTAATGAACCATCAACACAGCATGCTGGTAAACAAATGAATGAAACGTGTAACATCAATACATCATTAATGACATTAAAAGATTGTATCCGTGTGTTGAATGAAAACCAAAAAGCAAAGTAAGTTTAAACACTTATTTCCTGCATATTATGACTTAGATTAAATGAATAGAAGTGCTCTGGGAAACACAAGCTATTGAGCGTCCATATGTCACATACTTTTCTTTTAGAAAACAATTCGTTGTACCTTTCCGTAATAGTGTATTGACAAGTATTTTTCGACCATTTTTCTGTGGCGTTGGTCATATCTCTATTGTTGTTAATGTCAATCCATGTGCAAGCTTTACGTCACAAACTAATGATCTTTTAAAGTTTGCTTCATTAGCCCAGAAGGTAGTGCTCTTTACTTGTGCTGTTTTACTCATTCACTTTATGTTTTCTTGTTTGTGTCAGACTACAATTGTACAATGTGAACCAATCATTGCTAAAGCAGCCCCAGCACCATCATCTTCAGCGCTTAAATATGCTAAATCAAAAAATCTGAAACGTTTAACAGGTTCCAAAGTGATTCCAGTACTTCGTAATAAAGCGAATATAAGTAGTAAAGAAGAAGGTTAGTGAATGACATACAGTTGGATTTAACACGTTTACTAACTCTGATCTATTTTTTCTTTAGAATTTTTAGGCGAACAAGATGATGAAAATTTAGTAAATAATTTTCTTTCCGTAACCTTGCGATGGTTATTCACGTAGTGTGTCTCTGTTTAGATTTCATACTGGCGTAAAGCGACTGATGCTGCATTAAAATTACTTCAGAAACAAGCAACATGGCGTCGATCATTTATGATTGAAAGACAGTAAGTATTGGATTTGGTAAATGATACTTCAGAAAGACTCTGTAACTAAATTTGAAGAATCACTCTGATTCCGTGAATATTAGCGTAAGAAAAGGACTTGAAACAAATTAGAAATGCATATCTAGTATAAAAAACGTAACTGTTTATTTTAGCGACGAACGTGTTAAACTTGTGGGCGGTCTGATGCAGCAGCGCGATACAATTAAAAAACTGAATGCAGATATTTCATCGGTATGTATTATAGAAATATTAAGACTATTTCTTCTTAGCGATCAGATCGTTTGGATGCCAGAAACATATTTAGCTATATGTTATCGGGAATTTCATTCTTTTCGTTTCTTCTTTGTTAGCTGAATGAGCAAATTACTGTTGCACAAATAGCCAACGTTCCTTCACGTTCAGCCGAGAGCATCCGTTTGTTAACAGAAAAAACTGATGAATACTCAAAAAAAATTGATCAGCTTCAGCGTTCCTATGCTGAAATATTGAAACAAAACGATGAAATAAAAACAAATTATAATTCATTGAAAGATCAATGTGTGACGATGGAAAATGGATATAAAAATGAAATTATTCAACATTTGTCAAATGAATCGAAATTGTCCACACAAATCGAGCAAATGACTGTTGAGCATGGAAAGGAAATGGCTCGCATGAAACGTGAATTAAATTTGGAAGTTTATCGGAAACAAGATTTTGAAAAACGGTAAGTTATTTTCTCTTATTATCATTGTTATCAACAACTTATACGTGTTCGTTTTATTAGACTTCGCGTTACAACTGAGAAGTTAGAAAGTGAAATAGCTGAATGCATTAAACAAAAGAAGTTGATAGAACAAAAACATCAGGATCATCAACAAACACTTATTAAATGTGATAATTTGCAAATAGAACTTTGTCGAGTACGAAATGAAAATCAAGAAGAAATAAAAGAATTTACAGATAAGTACGAAGAACAAAAGAAATTAAATGAAAAAATATTTGCTGAAAAGGAAATATGGAAACAGAAATATGAAATGATGATAGGAAAATTAACTGAAATGGAGGCAGCAGCAAATGCAACCGTTCCACAACAAGATGATACAATAAGCATTCGTAGTCGATTAAAACGTCAAACAAATGAAATTAATTCAGATGTAAGAAGATCTTATTGTTATTTAATTATAAAGCTGTTCCTTGTTTTGTAGGAAACTGATGCTAAAAAACCAAAACGTGTAACTCGTTCGAGTTCAAGAAACAATTCAGCAAGCAGTGATGAAAACAATAGTGTAATACAACTGGAAACAAGATCATCGAAAAAGAAAATATCAACGCGTCAAAAGAAGAATTCTCAAATAAATGAAACAGCATCTAGTCGAGTAAGAACATTTGTTTCTGCTTCGAGTATAAAAACAAATCAAGATTTTGTGTGTCATGTTAAATCTGTTCTCGTGTGTGTTAAACAATAGCTGCTATATTGGTTTTCCACTATACAGCGTGTCCGCCACGTATTTTAAAGGTACCGTGTAGGAGAACTCAAGTAAATGGTCGAAAAGAACTCGAGTCAGACTAGCTCTCAGATCAGAGCTGTAATCTAATAACTAGTTAAGAGATAGTTGATCACCTTCGAAGATTATTGATTGCAAAAAAGAGAATGGGCAACTTAAAACTGTGGCGTCAGAATCGTACAACAGTAACGATAGCTTCAGGTGATGTTTTCGTTTTTTCTAATACAGTGTATGTTATTCACAGGTTGATGAAATTGATCGATTTTCAAAATTAGTGAAACAAATTCAAACAGAAAGTAAGTGACATCTGTTATCTGAACAAAATATTCGAAGACTGAGCTTTTTCATTTTAGTTGAACCAAGAACAAATAAGAAGACGACGGCTGTAGTACGTGCTCGACAAAATAAACAACAACAAAATGGATTAGACATTGGTCGTCAATATCATCCACAAACTCCAACTGTCACACATTCTGTCTCATCGGCGATAAAACATTCGGTAGACGATATCATACCAGTTGTTGTACATCACACTGTTGCTCATTCTCCCATGTTAACTACTGTTCAACGTACTCCCTCGCACGTAAGTACATATGGTCATCCATCAGCTGAACAATCGCTTAGTACACCAAAACAATCAACAACATTCAAAGGACGATTGCAATCACTATTTCGTCATACGCCGTGTAAGATGATACAAACAAAAATTTTCTTTTTCAAGTTTTCATAGTTGTTCTCCATTTAGCATCTGCCGGATCAATACGTGTCAATCGTTTTCAAACAAAAACTGCAGTGGCCTTTGGATCTTCTACGCCAACCTCTAGAGTAAACAACAATCGATATAAAAAATGATTAATTTCTATTCATTTTTATTTCTTTTAAGGTGTTGCAACCCATACATACTCCACAAGCAGTAGTTCCACCAGTTCTACCAAAAGTTCAAACACCGAGAAATAAATATAATTTACGAAATCGTTTTTTTTCGAATCCAAGTTATAAAGATGAGGAAGTCGAAGTAAGTAAAAAGTTTTAGACTTTTTATCTGAGAAACACAACAATCTTATCTCTATTTATTTAGGAGAAGCCACGTCCGAAAAAAGGAAAAGGTAGCCGAAAATAATAATGAAATATGTTATTATGTTTATTTGACAATTGTTTTTCTGCAACTTAGTCAAATAAAACATGTTCTTTTGTGCATAGCTGAATTTGTGTATGTGTGTGCATTTTTTTTGTAATGCTAGTAGATATGCTTATACTATTTTTTTTTTGTGTTTGTAAATATTGTACTGATCTAACAAGAGATACATGTACTTTTGTTGAAATATTATTTTTCTCGTGTAGTGTGATCTCATCTTGTAGTTAGATATGAGAACGCTTTTTTATTTAATAAAGATGAATTATGTAAATTTTAACATTTTCATCCGTTTCTTGGACGACAGAATTGCTTATGTCCTGGAATTATGATCACATTTTTACATTCTTGATAGTAGCAGAGCTACTTGACCGAAATGACTCGTCGACAGGACAGTCGCTCAAGTAAATTTTCAACAAACTCCGTCAAAAATATTTTCTAATGAGAAACTTTCAGCTAAAAATATTTGAAAGATTATTACATAAAAGTGATATCACAGAACTTATTATCAAAGAACACGATACAAACCTAATTTTTTTTTATTGAAAAGAGTATAAATAATTCTACAATGAAAACTTAATTTGAGAAACAGAATGCAAAAATTATGTCCGATGGCATGCAATTTTCGAATAAAGAAGTTTAGCAAATGTTGATCCTCACAAAAGTAGACAAAAAGTTTGTCTAGAACTCTATTTGAATCCGCTGAAGTTATTTAAGTTATATTACAATAACAATTGTGTGACAAGCCAAACATTTTATGCCAGGATTTATCAGCCGATCCTGTGAGATAAAAACCAAATACACCCGATGAAGATAGGCTGCGAATGATAATTGTATATATTTGCAGAAAGTTTGATGTGATGGGACGTGCTGTTTCATATCTAGTTTGTTAATATACATTTTTGTACTATTTTTAAAGTGTTTGCAGCGAAAACATTGATTTTTAATCTTGTTCATTGATGAAAATAAAGTTTCACGATTCTGTTAAAAGACTTTTGCATATGTTATGCATCATTTTTCAAACCATATTCTCGGAGCAAACTTTCGATTCTTGTGATCCTCTTAAATGTTATCACTGGAAAGAAGATTCGAGTAATAACTCAGAACATCGACTGTACACAGAGTTGAACTCTACCAATCATTGCATGCAAAATATCTTCTATAAAGAAATGCAGAACGGTTGATTTTTGAGCCCTACACTCTGGTCTTTAAAAATTTTCACGCACAGAACCTTCCCTACGTTATGAAGTTTTCTCAAACTGTATGCAAATATATATGAAAACTTGAAAGTTATTCAGCTCTAACATATAAACACATGTTTAAGAATTATATCTCATATGTGAGATTTCATCGTCACAGAATAATATTGACCGTTTTATCACTTAAAAACTGTCGTTTCTGCACTAATTCGGTTAAAAGGAATCCTACGGCGTACTCTGCCTTACGGATCCTGAAATCTTCTCTTGCCCTGCCCTGTACATTTTGTCATATGATCTGTAGGACAGGATAGTATTAATGATCAGCCTGCGCATCCGTAATCGTATTGTTTCCGTCCTATTCAGAAAATAATGAGCTTGGTTTTATACATTGACACGACATGACTGACGTTCCTGAGAACTATACCAGTCTACATTTATAGGATGAGAAAGTAGTTCTATTATTTTGAATACTTTTCTCCTTATCATTGGTCTTTTGTATGTTATGAAACTGTGCATTGTTTGTTCCGACAGATCAAAGGAATTGAATGAGGTTTATGCAGAGATGGGCAGAGATTTGTTGGGCTATGATATATCGACAATGATATATCGCAATAAATTTTACAGCCTTCATAGATTCGGTCTAGTCTCGGAAAAGCAACTGACTCGAAAAAAATCGATCTAGGCGTTAAAATTTTGCGATATATCATTTTGGAGATCAAACGCTACTAAAAGTAGCTCGAAACATTTTAGGGGAGAAAACTTCTAGATGATTTTTTAGGTGACTCGCCCGTTTCTGAGCTTATGCTCGAAGTAATAGAGTTTGGACATCTCTTTACCGTGCCATGCGTCCTCCTACTTACGAACAGAAGAACATGAACGGTGGCCACCTTTTAGAAGTGAGTGTGTTAAAAGTATGCGATGTGGAGTTTCACAGCTCTCTCTGAGACTGCTCTAACAAGATTTTTTCCTAAACAACTATGGAAGGACGTACTTTTAGACGATTAACTATGACCAGACAGTGATTTATGGACAGATTAGTGCTTTGAACAACAAAGATACTCCAGTTTTGATGCTTTTAGGTTTTATGGATGAGTGATTTAATCAAATATTTTCTTTTGTACTTCATTTACATCAAATAAATCTTGTTTCTGAGTGAATTCTAACACCGTCTGCTTGAACAGAAGATTTAATCCCATGTCGACGAAATCGCTTAACTTTTGTCGATTAATCGCGATTTTTCTTCTGGGTTTCCAAAGTAACAAGCCAAAAAATCGCCGATTAATCGTGCGATTTATATTCCCCGCCATTGACTCTGTTCATTAGCCATTCAAAGAAATTTAATTTAGTCATTCCTGATTTTGGTAAACTTGGATCTAAAGTGTTCCATGTTGCTAAATTAATTCGTTGTCCCTTTTTTTACCCCAGTCTATTCTATTGACGTTGATTTAGAACCTTTCTTTATTGATTGTAATAATCATAAAAATTCAACTGAAACATTATTAGCGGACGTGTGCAAAGTCTGTCTCTCATCGTCTTCATTCTCCACCGTCTCCATGCCGTGCGTTTAATCGCATGATTAATCGGCGATTTTTTTGGCTTATTACTTTCGAAATCCAGCAGAAAAATTGCGATTAATCGACAAAGTTAGACGATTTCGTCGACATGGGAAGCTTTCAGTTTTGTTGATTCCAAAATGACATTCTAGGCGCCTTGCTATTCAGGATGAAATAAAAGAAACGAATTTGTAGCACATTTCAAAAACTAGACAGAAAAAAAATTAACCATAGTGTTTTCTCTTTTTTTGTGTGTACATGTTTTTTACGTTTATCGTGCTGTGTATATAGTGGAATGAAAACTAGAGAATATTACTGCTGAAAATTAGTATTATTTTAGTAATGTAGAAAAAGAGAAAAATGCATGGTGGAGTTTTATGGAACAGCAAATTTCAAAATTGGAATAGATTCAATTGTCATTTACCCATAGGTGGATATAAGTCAAGTTATTCTTTTCAGAAGTATCTCGAGTCTTTTTTTTTTGCGTTGAATTCACAACAGAAAATTTTTATTTACGAAGAAACGCAGCTTTGTTGAAAAATATAGACGACTGATCACTCACTAATATGGATACAAACGACACGATAATGGGTATCAATCAGAATACAAGTTATTTGAAGCCGTGTTTCATGACAATAGAAGAAATTGAAAAATTAAAGAGAAATGAATCAACAGTTTTGAATAGAAGTGAAGTCCCATTTTGGCATATTCATGAGTTTATCACATCCGATGGATTTTTATCATCATTTTTCATTCCCAAACGCCTTAAAGATTATTACTCAAGTATTAACACATCAGGTCAAGGAATTGCGAAAAAGATTCGAAAATTTCTTCAGCATATAATTTTAAATTCAACAAAATATTATATGAGAAGATTAAAAGACATGAAATTAAAAACGGAAAAAGTTAATTTAAATATAAACCAGCTGAAGCAGATAGATCAAGGAGCATCTATCAAAGCTAGATCTTCTAAATCTAAAAAACAAAATGCTATGGTGGATAAAATAAAAAAGTCAAGAAAATTTGGACTATACAATGATACAAGGATAAAGAAAACGAGAATACACAATCGAAAAACGAATGATACCGTAGAAAATTTTTGCCATTATTGTTGTGCTACATTAAAAGATGTCCAAAGGTAACGAATATATAATTTGCTAGATTATTTAATGGATGTTCGCGCTAATTTAGATCCCAAAATCTAAAATCATGTTTTAAATCAAAGAAAGTAGCACAAGTAAAACGTTTGAAAAAATCGTTGAGCCTATAAATAACATTTTATCCAAAGTCATTCTACATTCGCAGATAAGAAACACAACTACTATGTATGATATTCGAATTGCACCGTCGTCAAGTCTCGAACAGGAAAAATGCGTGCAAACTGAACAAGGAAATATTTCGCCACAACAGAAAACTGTTCTACACTCAAATAGTCCAGATTCATCTTCAGTTTTAAAACAAATTCTTAATATATCTTCACCTTCTAATACATCTAAAGTACAAAGGACAAAAATTACACTTCTTAATCTGAACATACAAATACATCCGAATAATCCAAAAAATGGTACTACTAACAATGTACAACAAAAGTCACAAAGTAATTTTTTCATTCTAAATAACCATGTGTCAAGTTCTACAATTGAACAAAAGTTAAACACTTCTAAATCAGATTTAACGCTAAGATGTATTTCAAAAGATTTTGTTGAGAAATTTATTCATGATCTATCTAAGTCAACAACAATGCTATCGAAAAGTGATGTGCAAACAGTATTCACATCCACACCAAAACTTGTTTGTAAAACACTTGTTCCAACAAATAATAATGATTTAGATTATTTGGATATGACAACAAAACAACTGAAAAAAATGGTAATAATTTTATCAGATATGTTGGCTATAACTTTATCATAGTATTTATTTATCATACGTGTAATGGGCACTTAGGTTATTGAGAAGTCTAAGGATATTCACACGTTTAGACTTTTGTTAGCCTATAAGATTTTTCGACTATTAGGAATATGGGAGCCATAAGAGGCTATTAGATTATAAGACAGAAAGAATTCTGCTTCTGATTCACTCCCAAAAGACGCATCAACTAACTTTACGTAGATTATTCAGATGTGAGTATAGTTTTCTAGTAGAGGGAAAACAATATGTCACATTGCTGTTTTTTCTAATAGTTGAAAAGTCTTACGTACCAACTCAGAAGTTTAACGAAACTTCAAATTCTACACTACTCTTATTTATTTCAGCAAATGATATTATTAAACAGGTCATCTGAAAAAGAATCGACAAATGCCAATTCATTAGTAACCAAAGAGCAAACATCGTCTTTAGACTGGCGCAAGCGTCAAACGCAAGAAGATATAGAAGGTAAGAAAATACGAAACTGTTCAGTTTTTGAGAAATTTGTTTGACTATCATCTATTTCAGAACCAATGGAACAAGATACAAAAGTATCGGTAAATATGCTTCGTCAATATTTTATTTTGTCATCGAAGTCGTAAATGAGAAAAAACAATATCATGAAGAAAATGAAGATAGTTTATTGATTAAGTTACATCTTTCTTAACATAATATAAAAATGCAATTATGATTTATTCTTTTCTTTGTTCAATAAATGTCATCAAGAAACGCATTTTATCTTCAACTAATCGTCATAATGTATTAACTACAAAATTATATAAAACACGAAAAAGTGTTTATATACACAGATACTCATATACATATTCAATCCTTTGGTGTTATTGTCTAAATTTTAACTGAAAAATAAGAATATGAGGAAGAAATTTTGCTCATGTTTTTTCATGTTAAGAAAAGAAACTTCTTTGGTCTTATTACTAAATAAGTCATGCTTGTATTTGTATTCATATAATCTGTAACAACTTACTCAAATCTTACTGATTTATCATTCGTTTTTCTTAATCCAAAAAAAATGTTTGTAAAATTCTTTTCTCAAAAAATGTTTGATACGAATACTTATAGAATATGTCGTAGATTGTAATTATGGATAAAGACAGGAGATGATGATAGAAAGAAGAAATTAACATATGCAACGTGTATAGAAGTAATTTCAAGAATTAGACCACAAATATTCCTAATATCTTTTTTTTTGCCGTTTGAACTTGCACTTCAGCTTTTTCTTTTTTCAAAGATTTTCAATGATCAGTTTGAGTCCAGTTTCGTTTGTCTTGACTGGTTAGTCATAATAGAATCTTTCTAATGTACAACTCATCATAACGTTAATTATTGTCTGATATCGTAGACGAGTAAACAGTAAGTTGTCAAAATTATCATCATTATTGTTATCACCAAAAAAGACTAATTCTCATTTATTTCGCAATAATAATGAAGTGTGATGCGTTTAAAAAAGTCAGCAACTGTCAAAATTTCAACAAGACTTCGAACAAAATTTCTTCTAGTATATATGTGACGTAATTTCAAAGGTTAGAAAATTCATCTTGTTTGAATGTTTTTAAACATTATTACACAGTATGGGCTTATCATAAGTCATTATTCAATAGCAATTCATAAAAATCTCAATCAAACAAATATTCTAACAGAAAGAAAATGGTAGAAATAGTAACAATTTAAATTTTGTCTCCTCTGATAATATTTGCTATTTATTACACGAAATATCGCCTAAAAATTGACAAAATTTAAAAAAAGACATTGATAATGCATTTTACGATGCATAAAAAAATAAAAATATAAATCGATTTTGTGTATATTGGATGATTGTAAGAAAAAACAAATTTCTTCGAACAAACTCTTCTTCAACCAATTTGTTCAAATAGTCAAAAGTTTGTGATTCGGAGTGCGTCAATATCTAGTGTATAGAATAAATAATCATATTTTACAAAATAGTAGAAAATATGATACGTCAGTACAAAAATAATATAAAAAATAAGAAAAAATCCTTATAAAATCCCAGAAAGGGAGAGAGAAAAATTAACAATCAGTTGCATTAGTTGAATTTCGTATAAATTTTGTACGATAGGCTTTTCTATTATCGTTTCGTCGTTTCCAAATAGGCGATGGACTTTTGCTCTCATCATTTTGACAATCAAAAGAGGTTACAAGTGTATGACACGATTTACTTAACGGCATATTTTTATCAATTGTTATTTTAGTTGATGCTGGTAATAATACATCGGAATTTCTATTGTTCAATGGTGATTTATATATTTTTCTCCATCGAATTGATGATGTTGATGAAAAATATGTACAATGTCGAATACAATTATTTATTGTATTAATAAATGTTTCCTTTTCTTCTTTAGTTCTACAATGGTACAACATGAGAATAGAATTATATCGAAAAATCATATACTTAAACAATTCTTTCTTACCTATTAGCCAATATAAAGTGTACTCTGTTCAAATGTATTAATTCCCAAGTAAATAGTAAATCATTCGTATATTTAATTGATCGCATGTCGACAATTTGAATTTGTTTAATTGGCATAAAATAGGTAAATCGATCCGTTTTTACCCATTGATCCTGTAAATATATAATCTCTTTATTATTATTATTTGTAAATATTTATTTATCACTGACCATTGATTTTTTTTTATTCTTATTAATTTCACGACAAAGAAGAATGATACCATTACGAAATATAAAACATAATGTTTCTAATTGATGTTTTATTTTTTGTTGTATAAAATCATCGATATTTATCCATTCAAGTGCACCATAAGCAAGAAGATCAGGTAATGCTAATTGAAGTGTCTATAGAATAATAAAAATACAAAATATATTAATTAAAAGAGAAAATTGAATAGATAGATAGATAGATAGATAGATATACCATTTTATGTTCATCACTGTATCGTTTCATTATCTGTTCAAAATATTGACCATATTCTTCATAAATTGTTTGCATATCATTCATATATTGTGCAACATCATTCATTGTATCAACGGCTTTAGATAATTTTATATTTTCTATAGAATTTATATCAGTATACGAAAGCATTTGTTTAAGTAATAATGGATATTTTAAAATACGTTGAACAGGTTTAATTAGATAAGATTCAAATGATGATGAATGTTGATGACGTGGATTACGAGCATCAAAAAATGCTTTTAATTTTGGATTTTGTTCTAAAATAATAATAAAAATATTATAAAAAATATCAGTTAATGGGAATATATACTAGAACAAACCATTTTCTAATAAACGATTAATACGTAAATGCATAGCACAAAATGTTGAATACATTTTAAAATGATTAGCATAAGATAAAAATATATCAGAAATTGACAATAAAATATCCTAAAAATAAATAATATCTATGAATTTTTTACTATTGTTAAGAAAAGACTATTTTATCACAAACTTGAAACTCATTTAAAGCATTGTAAGCTAAAACATCGGTGGGTACTGAATTTTCTAAACATTTAAGAAATTTCACTTGTAATTGTGTTATTGATTTTACACTGATGTATAATGATTCAATCGGATCCGATGGTAATAATGATTCATCGCGTAATGGACCAATATAACGTTCTATCAAACGTTCCATATCCTAATAAATGTTTATTTAACTGTTAATAAAAATAAAATAACGATTTATTTTAACAATACATACCTGTACATAATTTCTCTCAGTTTGAAGTAATTCAAAGACAACTTTTCTCAGTCGTTGAACATTTGACAAAGCTTTAATTCGCGGTTCATTCGTTGATGTTTGTTCACTGATTAATTGTTCATTATATATTGGTCGACAAAATCTTGATACTTCTTCAACATTCTTGAATGAAACGTGACTAATGTTAAACAAAACAAAAAACCGATGATATAGACGAACAAACCTTAAGTAATAGATCAACAGGTGGTGATGATGTGTGTTGAAATTGATTTTGATTTTCACAACATTTATTGTATTCATCCTGATCACTGTTGACTAAAAAAAGGAAATTAAAATAAAAAATTAAAATCTTGTCAGAACAATCTCATTTGAGGCTAAAATATGAAACGCCTCTCGACTGTCCATTCTTGAGTTCGTTTTTGTAATGAGTAATTAAAAAATGATGAAATAGACTCTGATAAAAAAACGATTAACCAGCAACTGATGGTTTTTTTCGCACGGACCGCGGTTATTCAAATAAACACCGGCTCGTCTGTTGAACCAGCGGTAGCCGACGGTTATTTCGATAACCACGGTTAACCGTCAGTTTTCAATAAAAATCGGCGACATGGATATGACCCCTGAGCAAAAACATAATAATTATAAACTCCACAGCAGCTTTAACCCTTTGACTACGGGAGTATCATATATGATACCTGACTGATAGCGGTGATATTTATGCAGGTATTCAGAAGTCTATTGTTTCTCTTGTTCTCTCTATTATTGAAAATCTATCAAATGGTATAAAAAACTCTTCTTTCACTTACTGGATATAACAGTTCTCAATGCAT